TAAGACCGTTTCAAAATACATTCTTCCAAAATAATGTGGCTCAAACACACTCTGATAGTCTGATTGTCAAACTTCATTTTAAATCAAACATTTCAACTGACTCGCAATTACTATTTACTTATACATCATTTATTCTTATCTACTTATAAATTAAACTGCCTGTAAATTCATTCCAAACTGATCGCGTCCATATAATTCATCACAAAACAGAGTTTTTTTTTTTTTTTTAAAGCATCACTCGAAGTGAATAAAATCACCATAAAATGTATTTAAGATAGAGTATTCTTGCTTTGATTTCTTTCATGAATACAATCATTAAATAACTCTACAATATGTAGGGCGATGATAATGCATAAAAAAAAAAAATTAAAACGAACTTGCGATGATTTAATAATTGTGATAATTCAAGATTAGGTTATTTATAATAATAGCGACGATTAAAAGACCTTAGCAATTTTTTCTATCGAAATATATTATGTTGTACTAAAAATCAATTATTTTTCGTATTCAATTATAAGTTAACTTTGCTTTATCTTTATCTATTTGTCTAGTAGAGAAGTAGCAAGTCACATACCACTGACGTACCAAATGATCGAGCCATGGAGTTAGAACTGGCAAAAAAATTATATTAATTTGGTTGGCAAAGTACTGTTTTTAATTATAATTAAAAATAGACATTTGAGCAGATTATACGTAAGATAATTAATTAATGATAATAATGGTGGAAATAATTAACGAAGTACGTAGCTGGAATTATCGTAACACAGAGAGTTGAATATAAAACATTGTCACGAGGATGAATAAATATGTTGTTAATATTGTAATTAATGTTGCACAAATTTGTCTGCACTTATGAAGCATGTCAACGGCAAATAGTTTGTTATGTGATTATGGATGGGATCACATGCCTCCCCTTGATTGATTCCTTCAAAAGTTGCAGAATAACACCTTGGCTACGTTCGATAGCGTGTCTTTGATATACAGTATTAAATTATATTAGATAATAAATAGGTTATCGTGAAGAAAATCGATTTTCAATCACGTTTTCTAATAAGTTAAGCGAAATTTGAAACGTGGTATCTAGTGAATTAAAGAAAGATATCTTGCTACGACTTTCTGTAACCTTGTTGTGTATAAACGAAATGTGGTAGTGACGTGTTCAAATAAGAAATATGCGCAACGAACTTAATGTCGGATACATAGTCTATTCATTTTTATGTAACATGACAATCATTTAGATCTAAGTGAGATACGTCATTCTTTTTTTTTTTTCTTGAACTTGGCTAATTTCAGGATCAAGGTACAGATTCTTATTTTCTACAGTAAATCAATTCTCATTTTCAACCACACATTTTTCAATAAAATAATATTTTCCATCACATCAATATTTTTTCTTCTTTTTCAACCACACATTTCCCATCATATCACTATTCAAAAATAAATTTTTCCCCCAAAAATCCCTACCAAACACACTCTGAATGACGTTGTCCAGGCCCTAACATTGCCTTTTATTGTGTTTGTTTCACATGATCAAGACAAGTCATGGTTACAATCGAGATTTTTGAACATTCGAAAGTGAATGGATTTAATGTCGCTAGAATGTTTTAATCCGTTAAAATAGATCGAGTTGATTGGTATTTGTTCACTTTTCCCTCTTAATTTCGTCTAACCATATCTAGTTACTCTACATAGTTAACTTATTTCATTTACTTATCAAAATAAAAATAAATTTGTATTGGGTCCTCTTCTTCCTTCAAATGCACTTATTCAAGTTCAAATTTGATTTTATACAAAGAAAAAAAAACTCAAATTGAGTTTCAAACATCTAAAAAAAATTATTTATAATTTAATCCAAAAAAAAAAAAAAAATTGATCTAAGCAGCCACATGCATCGTGGGGGACCCTAAACCCCCAACCCCAAGAGCATGAGAAGATCCCAAAAAGTGATACAAACTGCAAGTTTGTTTCTTTCAATCTTACTTTTTAAGAGACTATAATCAAAAGCGTAAAAAAGTGGATTATCTATATATAAAAAAAAGTGAAGTTGCTGTGTAACGGTTGGCTTTGCTTCTAAAGAACATCGCGTCTCGGCCCTCGGGCACTGCAAAATCGTGTTAGCTTTTTATGACCTAGAAACACGCCACTAGGGAGTCTAGTCTTCTTGAATCTTGATAAAGGGTTTTTCCAATTTCCAAGAATTGGGAGGGGGTAATTTTATTTTTTTTGCATATAAATATTACTTTAATTATGTAAGGTGGCAAAAAAGGGATATTTTGTTTTTTGTTCACCTATTTCATTAAACGAGTTTTGAAATTGGAGATATGTGGAATTCATTGTTGGTAATGCAAATCCTTTTTCGTTTGAATAAGTTCACATAGAGGTGACAAATGGGTCGAGCGGTTCGTCAACGAGCCCGAGCGAGCGGGCTGGCTTGCTAGGCGATGGCAAATGGGTCGAGTGACTCGTTAACGAGCCCAAGCGGGCTGGCTTGCTAGGTGAGCCGAGCTAGAAAGCCAGCCTGCTTGGCTCGTCAAAAAATGAGCGGCTCGTGGGCTTGACCAAGGTGAAGTTTTTTTTAAAGGTTTATCTTTAAAAAAATAAAATTGACGAGTTCGCAAGCCGAAGCTCGGTTCGGCCAACGAGCCACAAGCCGAGTCGAGATCAGCCCACGAGAAGCTCGGCTCGTTGCAAACGAGCCGCGGCCCGGCCCATTGCCACCTCTAAATTCACATTTGATGTGAATTTATAGTAGTTAAATAATTGAGTTACTTTGGGGACTTTTGGTTAGAGGACTATGTCTAATGAGACTAATAAGAAAAGTCGATAGATATTTACTTTTAAATTCAATTTTCAATAATTGTACGCTCACATGTTATTTCTTGTAAGTGTACTTTTCTAGTCAAAATTAGTTACATACCGTAATTGTTCACTAATGAAATCAAGAGGAGCCTATTATTTGGACAAATTTAGATAATTTCTTGCAGGTGTACTTTTCTAGTAAAAAAATTAGCTATATCCATTAATTACATGCTAATGAAGTTAAGAGGAGTCTATTATTTCGACAAATTTAGATAATTTCTTGCAAGTGTACTTTTCTTGTAAAAAAATAGCTATATTCATGAATTACACGCTAACAAAGTGAAGATGAGTCTATTTTTCGGACATATTACAATATTCTTAACATACCTAAGCTCTATATCAAGATTCACATTTCTTTGTCGATATCAACCTGAGACATAAAATTTGATTACTCGAAAGTCGCATATACTGTTAATATATATATATTTTAAATATATCCAAGCTCAATGTCGTTATTCACATCTCTTTGTGAATAACAACATGAGACATAAAATTTGACTATTCAAAAGTCATATACCGTCACAATATTTTTAATATATTCAAACTCACATGATTCACATCTCTTTGCCAATATCAACGTGAGATATAAAATTTGACTACTCAAAAGTGATATATCATTGCAATATTCTTAATATATCCAAAATCAATATTATGATTCACATTTTTTTGCCATATCAACCTAGCAAATAAATTTGACTAGTCGAAAGTCACATGCCGTTACAATATTTTTAATATATCCAAGCTCAATATCATGATTCACATCTCTTTGCCAATATTAACGTGAGAAATAAAAATTGACTACTCGGAAGTGATGCATCGTTACAATATTCTTAATGTATCCAAACTCAATATCATGATTCGCATTTGTTTGCCAATATCAACCTTAAACATGACATTGGACTACTCAAAGAGTAATGTTATTCATCCCTAGTGGGGATGAAAACACAGTTTAGGTGGCTGTAAATGATATGTGAAATGAAAGGTGAAATTAAATTACTTATTTAATTTCACATATCATTTAATGTCACATTAGCTCCACCTAGACTGTGTTTTCATCTCCAGTGAGGATGAATGGTATTACTCCTACTCAAAAGTGGAAAGCAACATACCGTTACAATATTCTTAATATATTCAACATCTCTTTGTCAATATCAACGTGAGACATACAATTTGACTACTCGAAAGTTATGTACCTCTAACCGTAACACAATCCCTTGTCAATTTACACTTGAAAGATAAAAGAAACCCCCACCCCAACAAAACCAATCCAATTAGAAGAAATTCTTGGTCTAAGAAGTTGTATTCAATAGACACTTATTTTAAATTCAATCTCCAAGCTGGGTATGCTCAATTTTCTTAATGTAAATTGAGGTCAATAATTTATGTCTTCTTATATTTCAGTTTGTTAATGAAATTGTCTTACAAGCCTCAATAAATATAAAATTTGACTATGTTGAAGTGACATACCTCAACCAGTCAAGCCATAACACATTCATTTAAATTTACACCTCAATTGGAACAATTTTTTTTTTACAAGAAATGAGTAATGTTGAAGCATCTTCCACCTCCTATAAGTTCAATTTAATTAGTAAAATATACATGGGAGTGTCCCAATATTATCTCGTCACGGCGTGGGACCCAAATTCATATTAACAAACAAATCAACTTTTCATCAATCACGGAGGAAATATATAATATTACAAAACTGTTTTAAATTGCAATTAATATATAAAAATGTACACAATTAAGCCACTAAGACTAGCCCATGTAGACCCAAAAATCTAAATTTGGACAAAGACAGACAGACATAACAACTTGGGGAAAAGAGGGGTCAGTAAAGGTACTATCAGGTGAAGAAGGAATAGTACTAGAAAAGAATGTGAAAAAATAAATAAAAAATAAATGACTTCTACTAACTAATTTAATTTTGGACTGGTAACAATATTGTACGTTATCTCGGGTTTTGAATACTCGTTTGACACGTACAAAATTTTTGGAAGAGTAGTTTGTTCGATGGTGTTTTGAAATTACGTGACAAGATCAAAATAGTTAAGTATTCAACGTCCGATTTAACGTGAAATAGATATATGTAGACGAACTCACACACCAGCTAGGATCCTTGTGGGTTAATCGTGGCTATATCAATCTTGGGGGCAAGACAAAGGTCGAAATACGATTGGTGCCCCGTATTGCGGGTAGAGAAGCATCAACACAGTTGGGGCATGTTGATAATGTGGAGACAAACAAAAAGAAAATCGTTGAAGCATAATAGAAAGCGTCAATTTTGTTTGTAGGATCGCTAAGTTCTGACCAATGCATTGTCGAACCCCAAGGCCAAAGGGAATGTACGCTACTGGATGTTTTGCTGCTCGAGCCACTCCTTGAGAGAATCGACCCGGATTGAACTCGTTTACGTCGTTACCCCATATGGCTTGGTCATGGTGAACCGCAAGGATAGGTATTAGTAACTCCGTTCCACGGGGAATTTTGCATCCTCCGAGTTCCACATCCGTCTTTGCTCGTCTGATCGTCGCAACAATAGGTGGATAAAGTCTAAGAGACTCATTCAAGATCATCCCCAACTACACAAAATTAGACATCGTGAATAAGATTTTTCTTATCCAACATACATACATACGTCAGGAAAAGGGGTAAGCAAGTAATGAATGTGATTGAGGCTTACAGTTTTGAGCTTGACAACATCGTCTTTAGTGGGTACGTCACGTGATCCGACCACCTTAAGAACCTCGTCACGTGCTAGGGCCTGCCATTCTGGGTGCATAGCTAGCAAAACAGTCGTCCACGTCAGCAAATTTGATGTTGTCTGTTCACCAGCAAAGAAAAAGGTCTTGCATTCTTCAGCAATGTCATTAACCGTAATCCTTGAATTCAAATTCAATTCTTGAATCATAAGTCCCAACAAATCTTTGGGCCCACTTTCTACAATTCCATTCCCCCAATTCTTTGTCCTTTGATCAATCACTCTCATTAGGGATTTATTAATTTCCTTTTCCAATTTCCAAGACATTATATTCCGTCTAGAGGGTAAGAACCTAAAGACAGTACGGAAAACAAGAAGTTAAAATCTTATTTATTGTGATAAATAGTCCATTACTATATTCGACTCAACCTTACGTACCTATAACCAGGGATGAAAACTTTGTGAAATGCTTCGGATGCAAGGGCCATTTGTTGGGCTTGTAATCTAAAAATGGCCTTTCCGTCTTCATAGCTGCTTCCAAACGCGGTCCGAGCGACGATATCTTCGGTTAATAGCCGGAACCATTCCGATACTTCAATTTCAACTTCACTCGAGTTTTTTGACATATCAAACCATTTGTCTAACATTTCATTCACACTTCCTGACGCCATTGGTATTAATAACTGAAAAGGAGAAAAAATATATATATCAATCGAAAAAGAAGTTAAAATCTTGATTATAATACTGTCGAGTTGAGTTGAGTCGAGTCGGACTTTAAGATTTTCCATGTGGAAGGTAGGGGTGATGATTTTCCTATGGTGCGCCCATTTCTCTCCTTTGAGGCTAAGAAGTCCATCGCCTTCGAGCTGTTTAATCAACGCATTAGCCTCGTTCTTCTCGTAAAATTCTGACTTATAAGTGAAAATTTCTCGAATCAAGTCGGGATCAGCCACGGTGAGACGGACTGTTGGCCCAAACCACACAAGAAACGTCGCCCCTAAATTCAAGCAAAAGTTCAATGTAATGTAACTCTTAGGTTTATACCATAAAAACCTTGTAAAAAAAGGTTTTTCACATGAAATGAAGTAAAGACAACCACTAAAATCAGAAGGGGCATTGGATAGTGTAGACCCTACAGTAGAGAGAGAGAGAGAGACAGAGAGACAAAATAGGAAGAAGACAATTCATAACTAGACACTACCAAACATATGAAACTTCATTACCAAAATTCAGACTCTCACAAAAATCTGAATCGAAGACAAAAGGAAATAGAAAAGATATGAAACGAAAAACAAGACTGAACAATATAATGAATAAAATTTCGGGCTCTTTTTCTTTTTGACATGGTCTAATTTTGTCCAGTCCTCCATTGGGAGAAATGATTAACCGTCAATCGGGATTAAGAAAGAAAAAAGAAGACAACAAGATGAACACGATCGGACAGTACGATGAATTATATTTCGTGCATCTTTTTCACTAGTCGTCCAATCCACCATATCAAACAATGATTAAGCGGGGGATTAAGAAGCCAACCAGTTGGATTTTCTTTCCCAAGAACTTACTACTTTCTATTAGTCTCTTGTCCAATCCTTCGTACCGAACAAACAATGTTTAAAAGGGATTAAGAAGGGAAAAGAGAATATACCATAGATTTTCTTCCAGTGGTGATAGAAGGGGAGAACTCTAGGAAGTATATTATGAGAAAACTCCATGGGTTGAGAAGAAGCCTTCAACATTAAACTAACAAGCTCTTTAGCATTTCCAACAAAAAGGCGATAAGGGGGACCTCTAATCCCTTGTAAAGAGAAATGCTCTTCAATTTTTCTGGGTCTCCACCAAATCAACACAAAAACTTTTAGAACAAAGAGAAATGCTATTATGGAGAATACACATAACTTGAACCAGTAGAAAAAAAGCTCTTGTTCCATGGCTGCTGCTTTTTTTCTTCTGCTGTTTTGCTTTTTATCTTCTTTCTGTTATGTAAGTATCTGTATCTTCTCTTTTTTAATGCCAATAACAAACTCTGCAAGAGAGAGAGAGTTTAGAGAGAGATTGGCAAGCCCACCGGCGTTGGGGCGGCCATGGGAATTATAAGAAGGGTCAATGAATGATAAATTTTTTGTAATTTTCTTTTGTGCGAAGGCGACTGCATTGAGGGAGGAAGGGAGCAAGTAGCAACCCTTCACTCTTTAAGGGAGAATTCACAGTGAAGTAAGCTATTCTTTCTCTCCATGGTTTTAGGGATTGTATGAATTTAGGGATGTATTTAAAGTTGAATGAATATATAAAATTTATGTGGATGTATGGTATTTAAATGAATTAATTCAATAAGGACAATACTGGAATATAGCGTGGATGCAAATAGTAATTTTTTGAAACTTTAAAATTTTAATGGGGATGAACTTAGAGTTGGATGTATATATAAAAAATGTGGATGGAAATAGCGGTACCCTTTTTATTTCTTGCACCACATTTTAATTGCACTTAAGGTTCTTAATATTTGCTCATTATAGCAATTATGTTTCTAACAATTTTCTATGTTATTATTTTACTCAAACTTTCAATTAGTTAACATATTTTGTATTTAATAATAGTTTTATATTCAAAAGTCGGTTAAAATGGAATAAACAATCTATTTTCTCATCACATTTTAAAAAATAAATAAATAAAAATGCGATAATATATTTTTTCCTCATTTCAAAGTATGAAAACAAAATAATTTGACGTAAATCATCATCAAGGACATGGCGTATTAATTAATGAAAAGTTGAAGATAAAAATTCGATGGAAAAATGTTAATGAAATAATTGATACAATGAGCATTTTAACAACAATTAAAATATGGTGTATCAAATAAAAATTGTGGTGGCAATATAATCATCATTGTTATATATTTGCAACCCTAATTATTATGACTATCCTAACCCTGTAACTCTAAGTCTTACCTATAAATATAGGAATTTGATTTTCCAAAAAAACAGAAATCTATTGACTTACTCTATCACATTCTCTTTTCTATTTTTTGTTATATTTGACAGGAGTTGGCTCATTGGTTCAATTACTGGATAAGTGTCGAAAATTGTCTCACCTTTTCATCCGGGTGGCTATTTGGTTTGGATCTGAAAACAAAGGCTAAAAGAGTATGTTTGGTACATAATTTTAAATTTTATAATATAAATTTTTTTTACTTCTTTTAGTCCTTAATATTGTATATCATGTTTCATCCACTTTATAAAACATGCCAAAATAGTATATTATATGCGGCGACCATTCCGATGACTTTTTCAAGGTCGCAGATCAAAAATTTTATAGATCATGAATTATTTCAAGATCACAGATAAAATTTTTTGTAGGTCACGTATTATTTCCAGGTCACGGATAAAAAATTTGTAGATCACAGATTTTTTTGAGGTCACAGATCTAAAATTTTATAGGTCATATATTATTTCGAGATCACAGATCAAAAAATTATAAGTCCCATATTTTTTTTTAGTTACAAATTATCAATTTTAAGTTAGGTCACATATACCAAAAAAATCATAATCGCTAGGTCACAGACACCAGATCCACCGCCTACGACAAACAGTGGGTCACATACATCGACACCACCTCCACCCCATCGACACCACCTCCATCCCATTCGTTGTCACTGGATAAGACTTTGTTTATCAATTGAAAATGGCTCCTACACCGTCTTCAAAGCCGAATTCAACAACACCGTTGTCAAAATCAAACAACTACCTCCAATAGAAAACCCCTCATTCAAAGCACCGCCTGAATCAAACAACCACCTCCAATCGAAAATCCCTCATTCAGATCTGCACCATCGACACCACCTCCACCCCGTTGGCCTCCAAACTACAATAGCCAAACAAGACTCTAAAAAAGTAAAAAACCAACTTGTCCCAAACCAATACCAACCAAAAACCTCAACCACGAATCTGATAATGGGCATGAACGATGGACTACAAGAACCGAATCTGGGATGAGGACAATGACGCCGGAAGATTCCCGGCGATAAAATCCGACCGATTGACCTGGGCTAGACAAAACTCGTCGAAAACTGAAGCCCATCCATCCACGCAGGCTGAAACTCCCCCTCACCCAAACAACCAGTAGGGAAGGAGGGGGAGGGAGGAGGTGGCAGGCGGTGACAGTGGGAGGATGGAGAGAACGGCGTTGTGGAGAGGTGAAAGAATGAAGAGAAATGGATAGATTTAGGGTTTGGATAGATAAAAATGATAAAAACCTGAAAAGTGGAAAAATAAAGTGAAAACTTGATTTTTTAAAACGTAAAACTAAACACCTGGTTTATGGTAATTTCCCTATACAATATTATGTTAAGCTATTAATTTATTTTTCTTCTTTAAAATATTGTTTAGTCAAATTCTAAGAAAAATAAAAGTCTTGGTTTTTAAAAAGGGATTCAAAAAAGTACAAATTATTTTTACTTATCAATACTACATATATTATTGATATTGAATAATTCTATGTTAATGCAGTCGAATATAACATGACTTAAATACATTATACCCCAACTTGGAGGGAGAATATTTTTTGTGTTATGAAAAGAGAGAGAAAGAGAAGAGAATAAAAGTTAATAGATTTGTGTGTATTATAATGAGAACCAAAATCCTATATTTATAGGACATGATTAGGGATACAATGGTAATAATTTCTAGGACTCACTAATAAACTTAAAATTTACAACACTCCCCCATTGAATGACACATCACAAAATATATGTCTTGTTAAAAATCTTGTTTGATAAAAATTCAATTGCACAAAAAAAAAAAAAAATCAAACGACGGAAAAAGAGTATAATTATTTTAGAGTATTAAAAATAAATGTTGCCTCATTAAAACATTGTTGGGAAAATCCAATGGGATAAAACTTAAGCGAAGAAAAAAGAGTACAACTACTCCCCTTAATAATTGATCACTAAAATCTTTGAGTCGACACTTCCAATCTTGTGAACCAATTTTTTGAATGTAGATATTTGCAGTGTTTTTGTAACTAAATCAGCCGCATAGTCATTTGAGCAAATTTGTTGAACATCGATGCTCCAATTCTTCTGAAACTCATGTGTATGAAAAAATTTGGAGAAATATGTTTCGTCCTATCATCATTGATACAACTTCCTTTCAGTTGTACAATACGAGCATCATTGTCTTCATACAAAATTGCTAGACCATTTTTTGTTGAAATTAATATGCAAAATACTTGGGTATGATAGGACATGTTCCCCAACCAAACACATTCTCGTCCGCTTCATGTATCACAATAATTTCAAAATAATTTGAGGATGTTGCTGTCAAAGATTACTTTTCACAAATCTCCATGATATAGTTATCCTTCTACGTATAAATACGTATTCTGTTTGTGATTTAACTTTATGTGAGTCAGAGAGATAACTTGCATCTGCATATCCTACTAAAGCAGATCTTGACTTTTGAGAATAAAATATTCCCAAATCAATAATACTCTTTAGGTAACGAAAAATATGTTTAACACCATTCCAATAACATTGTGTTGGTGTAGAGCTATATCATGCAAGGAGATTTATAGAAAAAGTTATGTTCGAGTCGAGTATAGTTTACAAGATAAGTTAATGTTCCAATTTCACTAAGATATGATATTTCAAAACTAAGAACATTTCTCCATTTTCAAGTGGTAAAAAATGATCATTTTTCACATCAAGTGATCGAACAACCATAAATGATACACACACACACACACACACACACACACACACACATATATATATAAAGTGGCTATGTAACGGAATTTGTTGTTTTAANAATCTTGAGGGGCGTTTGTAGATATAAAAAAATAAAAATAAAATAATGGGTTGGGTCAAGTTAAATAGCCTAATTAAACTAAAACCTAGTAAACCCATAAGATATTAAAAGCCCATCCTACTTTTTTTTAAAATCCACAATTGTTCAATTATAATCAATTTAATTGAATTAATTTTGTGATTACCAAAATTGGCCACGAATTTCTCCTATAAATAAGGTCAAAGGTTCATTGAAGAGGAAAAAGTGAAGAAGAAAATCACGAAGTGTTGAAGAAATTCCAAAACCGAAGGAAGAGAAGAAATCATCTCAACTCCAAGTTCGGCAAACACGAAGAAGATCAAAATCTCCTTCAAATCAAACAAATCCTAGAAGATCAAAATCTTCTTCGAATCAAATCAAGATCAAGCCCAAGTTTCGAANCCAAGTTTTGAAGTCCAAATCCAAGTTCTGAAATTCAAGTGTCAACAAGTCAAGTTTTCGGCAAATCAAATTCTCAACAATTCTCGAAGTCTTGGATTCATGCCACGTGGCTCCTCGTCTTCAAACATTCAGATCATTAATCAGAGGGTTTTGCAATTTTGCAATTACAAGAAGATTCTCATTTATTTGTATTTCTTAAAATACAATTTGTGACGTTTTCTGTATTTTAATACGCGAAATCCGTCGTACAAATTTCTTGGCACGCCCAGTGGGACCTTCTTGTCCTCTCATCTTTTGATCTCAGAATTTTCAACTTTCAACCACTACATCAACAATGGCAAACGGACAAGCGAAGCAAACCATGACTCATCTCGAAGAGACACTTGCTGAACTGTTCCGTACGACCAGAGCCCAAACAAAAAGTGGGAAAACTCAACTGGTTCCACCACTAAAGAAGTTCTCCAACAAAGGCAGAATGAAAATTGCTTTCACAAAGCCAAGTTCTCGTTCAACAGAAAAGACCAAGAGTTCGGCGAAAAATTCTCGTTCGGGCTCCATCTCCAGTGGCAGATCCTTGTCCGGATCCCCTCATACCACTTCTCTACAAAGGTGGGGAGACTATAGTTCGTCTGAAGAATCACTTGAGCCAGTGATGGTCACGGAGGCGACTTCAGGCTCGGATGATCGAATCCAACAAATGGCTTTAG